GTTAAATTATTATCTAGTAATGCATCTTCTTTCTCTTTCTCTTCGCACCGTTATAAAAAAGCGTTACGCGCTCGTTAGACGGAATAAAAGTTTTATGACTCGATCGAGGGGTCGTTCCTGGATTGCGAGGGTAGTCCAGATCGCGCGTTTTATTTTTTTTAACAAGGATTATAGACAGAGAAATCTAGACGTTACTTTATAATGTGTTGATTGCAGTCAGTAAATTGTGTATTAAAACCGACAGGGTTAATTAATGTGCATTATATATAAAAAATGAAAAAAAGATACATAAATACCTCTACTTAACATAGTACGGCTTTTATTCTACATTGTGTACTTATGAAAAAATATCAAGAAAATATTCTCTCGTAATTGTAAACTTTTGACAGTGTGACATCATTTAATAGTTTGTCACAAACCTTCGCAAGTGTGATCCAAACGTATTTGAAGTAACTTGTTTATGCAATTCTGTTTTTTTAGACTCGCTATGAATAATAATCGTGCACTTTACGAGAAAGTTCTGGCCACGCGAGAAGTTTGTTTCACGAAGTTATTGACCCCCTCTTTAACATCTTTTTAACTTAGAATCCTTCAGGTAATCCTATTAAATACGTCAACAACACAATCATAGTGCTCGTCAGTATCAAATTGGTTTTTAAAACTCGAATATCTTTAAACGCCTTGCACGTAAGAAATCTTCTCTTATCCCAGCTACAAAATGCAATTGTCTCATCAAAGATCTCAAGCGAGGGAGATCTCGGACGATGGGATCGTTCCGATTGGTCAAACAATCGAAAACATTTGGACCGAATTTGAAGTTGCTTCGCATGTCCGGATATACCGAGGATCCCGATGGAGACAGCAGGTCAGACGTTGAGTGCTAGCCTAGCATACAGCGCCAACATTCGTAGAAGGTTCGTTGCAGGGTGTGCGGCGGCTACTGGGGGGAGGGGGCGGGTGAGAAGGGAGACGAAGGGGGTGGCAGTTGTCGGCAGTAGGGCGAAGGAAGAGGCGGAGGAACGTCGAGAGAGAAGCCGAGGTCCGTCGGTATCGATCGGGCGTCTGCGGTAGATTGACACGTGTCATGGCCGCCTCTCTCGGTGCCGGGAGAGAACGAAAGGAAGGAAGGCAGGCGGACGAGGAAGAAGGACGGGAGCCGCCGTGAGAAGCCGCGGAATAAGAGAGAGGGAGCGAGAGAAGGAGCGGCGGTGGCGGCATAGCGGCGGGTGGCGCGGCGTCGAAGGTGGAGGAGGACGACGCGGGGGCCGTCGAGTAGGTGGCTGGCCGGACGAGGGCGGCGGGAAGGGGGACCGAGGGAAAAGGACATTAAGGTGCGTAATAGCCAGCGGGGCGAGCGCGCACCGCCGCGGCATCGATTAGACAGAAGCTCCCTCATCCCATTGCTAGAATGCAGCCCACCTACCACCTCCTCTCTGCCACCTTCAACCACCCACTTCCACCCACACAGGGGTCCCCACGACCACCCACCTCCACCCACTCCGTCGAACTGGAGAGCCCCCGAGTACGTGCTCTACATACACACTCGCGCGCTTATGTCAGTTCCTGTCCTGCTGCCGGCGCTGCCACTGCCGCCACCGTTGCGAAGAGGAGAGAACGAGAGGGAGATAGAGAGATGGCATCGGCGGGTGAGAGTCGGTGGATCCGGGGTGAAAAAGAGACAGCGGCTATACGACGAAGGGTGGCCAAAGCCACCTCTCTCCCTCTCTTTCTTTCTCTATCCCTATTCCGTAGCACCTACACACACGCCGTTGGGGACACCATCGTCTAACGTCGTTATAAACATTAACGGAGCGGCTCAATATTCCCCGGACCTTGCATCCCCCTGCGTCTACCTCTGGTCCATCTCCCTTCTCGGGCAAGCCATCTCTCCCTCACCCCACATTGCTTGCTGGACGCTCGCATACGACAAGCTCATCTTGCTACGGTTTCCGGGTCCTTCGTTGACCCTACGAAGGGTTACCTAGTTGGTATGCCTCGGATGCCCGAAGTCGAAAGGGTGTACTCGTCACTTCTTAGCAAACGCGCGAAACATTGAATGCTACCTGCAGCGTAACCAGTTTTCGAATACAAGAGTCCATCTACCCGATAATGCAGGCTTTTGTCCGAGAAGTCACTTAGTTTTTCTAAAGTAGAATTAAATTTCGTTTAGAAAGAGAGAGAGAAAAGAAACGCAAATATAATATTTGAACCATAATGATTTAAAAAAAATCAGAATGATAATAATGAAACATGATAAACTAAACAATTGAGGAACATTTATCTCTCACATGTCCTTTTAATGAAATTCCGTTTTTAATAACAAAAGATCAAAGTAGTAAAAGACTTATTAGAAATTGTAATTGAAGATAAAGAGAACGAACGTTGACATTTCTACTTACAAATACAAACAAGTCAAGCAGAATTACATTAGGGAGATCCGGTCGATTTCATACGATCACTCGGTAGATCTCATCGTTCCTGAACCGGGAAGAGGAGAGCGATGAAAAGGAGGTTAAGAGAGTCTGCGGGAATGGAGTCGTGGCCGCTTACGGCTTCGGATCGAGATCGTCTAATTTCGTTCGACGAGTCCCGCAAGGATCCTTCTATCTGTCGTCTTCTCCTCTTTTCTTCGTCTTCCGCTCGCTTCTACAGGCTTCAGCTTCCGTGACGAAGTTGTACAAAATACATTATTGTATTAGGGATTGCGTTGATTATTGTCAATTATAGCGGACGTTAAGAGAGAAAGAGAGAGGTCGTCAGATCCTTCGATCATTCAGATTAGTCATGCTGATTGAAAGCACGGTAATGCTGTTCTCCTTAGAGATTATGGTAATCTTTAGCCTGTTGTGTTAATTACTTACGAATACAGACAAAAGGAAAATTGTTGTTCTCTGTATATTGCAGATCTTTTTTATGCAATGAGAGGCATCTATCTTATATAAACTTAATTACGCATTGTTACATTTGCGATTTTTTTACAATTGTGATATATTATCATGCAACAAAATGTTACAAAAACATTCAAAGTCGTCACATTACTTGCCGCGATTTTTCGATTTTTTTCTTTTCGATTAGATTGTAAGCTCGTTTTAAGGCGCTATCTCGTGTTTACGCGAATCTTGTTAGCAGCAGGTGCGCATCCTTTTTCCGCGCTGCAATCGGTAATTAGGGATTAGTCATCGACGATCCTCGATCAACGACGACATGAACAGTTAGCTGATAGTGGCGCACGATGCGTCAACCATGGATATTATATTGACGTATCGATGTCTCAGCGGTGTTCACGAGCATTGCCCAATTAACGGCTTCGTCCTTGTTTTTCCGACAAATACTCGTAAATCTTGGCGAAACTGACCGTACAATTTATCTACCCTCCATAATACTCGCAGCGCGCAATCGTATTCTTTATTAATGTCGTACACGTGTTACATACGTGATACGACGGATTTCTACGAAAGCGTTCGGATTTCGAAGGATCTAATTTGTCGTATCATCGTGTTTTTCGTTATTAGAATTTGCTACATTTAGTCAGTATTCTCCACGCACCATATAGTGACGAGAAAATACATATATATAGATTTGCAAATGTTTTCTTTCGAGAAAAATGTGAAATACCACACATATTGTAGAATCGCGAAGAGAAGGTATTTTGCATTCAGGAAAATTCGTTATTGAATATTACGGTTGTATTATATAAGATTACAATATGTTTTTCCTTACTTCAGTAGTTTCCGTTACATCTCCCTCGAATATCGAAGAAACAAAAATTACAAAAAATTCTCCGAAGAATTTTATTTGAAGTTTACTTCTTCTCGCACAGGTGTATCGGCAACGAGGGAATAATCCACGAAGGGTTCTCGTTCCATCCCTTCTGTTATGCGGCCGCGCGTGATACGCGACATCCGATCAAGCGCGGTTAACCCGGGCGCTAAGTTGGTTTTGCCGTATAGCGGAAACATTTTTGCAACTTCTCTCAACTATACGCAAATCGAATTTTAGTCACGTCAAAGGTAGACTACGAACGTCGACGAAACCGGGATCCGGGATATTAGCCTCGATCAGACGAAGAGGGAAGGGGGATGGGGAAAGGGCGAGAAATGGCAGAGAAAAGGAGAGGACAAGGGGAGGAGGAGAAGAGACGGTACCGACGAGCATGTTTCGGAGCCGGATGGAAATTTCATTCGCTAGTTTTCTCCGCTTAATAAGACGAGAGACGGAGCCACGAGGTCGCTGCCGGTTCGCAGACTTCGGAAAGGGGAAACAGAAAGGGCGCAACAAGGGCGGGGGTGACGTGGAGAGACGCACACGGGCTGCCGGTGCGGGAAAGAGGGAAAACGCGCGGCGGGAGGGAGGAAGGGTAGGAGCCACGAGAGAGCGGCGGGGGGTTGCAGAGGGGCGGCCAGGACTGGGAGGCGAAGTGTCGTCGTCCGAATAACGGCCAAGCGGCATCGACCGATCTTCCTGCCCCCGGCCCGCACGAAGCGTCAACTTGTTTCCCTTCTGCTGCGCGAATATCGGACCTTCAATTTGCCCACTGCGGTCCGCTAACGCGATTGTCCTCAGCGAGCTGTCCATGACGCGGTTGTTGCGTGACGCGTGATCGGGGTATGACGGACTAAACGGGTTCTCGAATTTACTTCGGGGATGCATATGCCTGAAATCGCGAACAAATAAATTCCTGTTGTCGAATAAGCAAACACAGCGAAACAATAATTAAATAGCGTCGATTTTGCGTGATCGTTGTTGCTTTTACAATATATTGTTGAAATTCAAAATTAAATAGTATTTTTAAAAGCTGCAATTATTTTTGTGCGATAGAATGCATCTTTTTCCATGAATTTTAGAGTATTCATACATATAGTAGTAATTAAAAAGTGTTTTTTTTATCTTAATGTAATTCGATGTATAAGTGTTCACTATTGTGCGTTATAAAAAGTAGTTCTTTTGTAGTTTTTTTTTTTTTTTAAATTACGTAAGCAGCATTATTCTCATTATTTTAGATTTGTTGTCACCTATAATCAGAGCCAATGGAAGACTACGAAGATGACGATGACACGCACTATTGTATCAAATGCAGTATGACAATACACGGCCTCGACAATTACGTGCGGCATCGGCGCTCGGGCTGTCGACCGCCTGACGATAAAAAAGAGACCTTTCACGAGTCACCTTCAACGCCGACAACAGTGTCCTATCCCGAAATCTTAAACGCAGACGCTTTCTTCAGTTCGCTAGAATTAAAGAGTAGCGCGAAATCGAATAATCGACGTGACGCCGAAGAATCTGCTTTGACATTGTTGGAAAAATTTAAGAAAGATGATAGAGAAAAAAAAGACGAAAAGAAAAGTCAGATGGATTCCGACGAATCCAGCGTGAAGGATAAACTTCACAGCATGCTGCCCGCTGTCAGCGACTTGGATGATCCAACTGATCAATTATGCATCCAATCTCTCAAGCAGACCGATCGAAAAAGACAAGAAAATGTTCAACGAATGGAGTCCGATCAGCAGAACTGGTTGGAAGACACAAGTGTCATTCTCGAAGACCTGAATCTGAATAGCGAGAACAAAGAGATACCGAAATTCGGGTTTAGGTTTCAACAGGGCAGCGTCGGGGAAGACTCCGACGACGACGAGGAAGATTTGGAGGACGACGATTTAGAAGAAGACGATTCTTATTCGGATTCTGACGACGGTGAAAATCGGGAGCGTCCGCCGCGAGGCCATACCGGCGGTAAGTGGAAGCCCGAGCTCGACGATTTGCCGCAGGACATGGCACATATGCATGAGGACGACGTGGATCTCGAGGATGATCATCAAGAACATCCTCCACCGACGTACACCGGCGGCAAATGGAAACCTGCGGAGACATCGCAAGTAAGAAGAAAAACTTAATTTTAGAAAATGAAATTCTAGAGAAAAATTAATTGTTATAAATTTGAAATTTTTCTATAAGTGCATACTCATGAGACGCAAGCAATGATGATGATGTGTTAGACAAAAAGATATCGACCATTACAGAAGGATGAGGAATATGAGAGCAAGGACACGTCCGGACAGCCGCCGCCGGAGCACACGCGAGGGAAATGGGTGCCGGGTGCGCGAACGGATATCGAATCGGGATATTGGTGTAATCCTTGCGGTAGGAAGCTTGCCTCACGAGTGGTCTACAATCGGCATCTGCTCTCCGATCTACACGCCAGAAGGAGTATAAGAGAGATTGACAGAGATATCATTCCATTGAGTGAAATAAATTTGCGTAGTAGAAGACTGGCTGCCCGACAGACAGCAGTAAAGGTAATCCTAAGGACATGTTACGAACCTTTTTTATTTTTATTGCTCTACTGATATAAAAGATATATAATATAAAAGCGTATATTGCGGAATACCTTGTATATCTCTCATATATTAGATTTTTTACTTTGTTTAGTCATTTTTTTATGTTCAATTATACAATATCGACACAATAACACATGAATATCATACTTCAAAACATATACGTAAAAAGACACGAAGAAAAGTTTTAACTTTCTAAACCATAAAGACCGGTTAATTAATCTATATTGTCAGAAAATACCGGAAGAGCCAGAGATAAAGAAAGGAAAAAAAAGAAAAAGAAAATATGACGTGAGCCAGAGAATATTGTACATCAATTGTGAGATGTGCCACGCGCGCGTGAGGAAGCTCCAAGTTGGTAAACATTTGCTCTCCCATTACCATTGCCGTGTGGCGGGAGTAAATCCACGCAATCGAAGGGAGCGCCGTTTCCTGCTGGAAAACATGGCGTACGTGGTTCGACAGTGTCCTTTTCAATGCGCGTCTTGTCGTTTTTATTGTAACACTGAGGAAACATTCCTGCTCCATTGGCGTTCCAATCTTCATATTGAGACCATAAAAATGGTGAGTAAGTCGAATTAAAAGTATGAACGATTTGCATAAAACACGCGAGTTTAGAAGACATATTTTTTAAAATACGCAACCTTTGAGTTTTAAAAGATATGAAACATCTTTTTGAAAAAAAACTAATTGTTTTCTTTTAAAGTGGATATCATTCAAACGATAACAGATATGAAAAAAATATTTCGAGCAAAATTACTTTTTATATACATGATTTTTTTTTCTTTTTCTTTTTAGAATGAAAGTGATTTGCGATGTGTTTCTTGCAATTTTTGCTGCAAAAACAATAACGCAATGGAGTCTCATCTTTTGAGTACGGCTCATCGTGACGTAGTATCGATGATGAACGGTTCTGTGCCGGTAGTAATTGGTCGTCACCTAGTGTTGTCTTGCACCACTTGCGACCGTCAATTTCAATACAACTTGCAGCTGCGATTGCACATCAAGCAAACTGGTCACGAGAGCCACACTGCTTCGGATGCATATCAGCAATATCTTAAATGCAATTGGTGTTCTAAAGCTTTTCGGTCTCAGTTCGCGCTTCAACGTCATCAGTTGCTCGCGCACAAAACCAAACACGATGACGCGGATGTAAATAAGAGCGAAACCACTCAACTGGCACTGTACTACTGCTCATATTGCTCAATAAACTTCGCTACTAGAAATGAGGCGAATGAACACCGAAGATCATTTATTCACAAAGAAGTCGTTAGAGCACACAAGAATAAGAATGGACAGTCAGGAAAAGAAATGGAGAGAGTGTGTCCTCATTGCGACGAAAAACAACCTAACATCATAGAACATAAAACTCATCTACTCGATCATCATCCGGAACTATGCCACAGGTAATTCCACACTGTAGTGAAAAATATTTAAACAATAAAAACAATTTTTTTTAAATATTTTAAAAAGTACTTAAAGAGATGCGCACATTTTCTTTTGAACAGATGTCCTCAATGCAACATGCTTTTTGCCTTGTCACAAGACGTCAGCGGACACACACGTGAGGGCAAGTGTGTGAAAAAAGACGAGTTAAACATGGTTGAAATGATACGCGAGAGAAAAGAATGGAAGTGTCACATTTGTGTCTACTCGACGAATTCACAATCTGATTTTATGTATCACAAGATTCTCCATAACGGACCTGTTATAACTACGAACGGAATAGCCAAATTAAAGACAAATTGTGTGAAATATTGCTGTCTGATATGCAACAAACTCGTTTCGAGAGCTTCACTGGCAAATCACATCACGCAACATACTGGAGAAAAACCGTTTTCTTGTAAGAAGTGTTCGGTCTCGTTCGCGAAAAGATCGGACATCATCATTCATCAGAAACTGTGCAAATCCTCGGAATCATCGAAGCTGGATAAAACTGGCCGTGCGCGAACTTTCATTTGCGGAGAATGCGGAGAAGCTTTTTACACTAAGTGAGTACAACTTAATTTGTTAATTATTCTTATCGGTTTTTTAGACTTTCATTGGCTGGGTCACTCAAGAATCGATGAATAGTTTTTGTTAAAGTATAACCATGACTAAACATATATATTTATAATAATTAATAATTAATATATAATAATTAATAAAATAAACATTATAAAAACTTAAAAAATATATGTAATACGCTGTATGCAAAGCAATTTTTTGATTATTTAGTAAAATGTCAGAAGTGACACAGCCACAGTTTTCTCTTGGAAAGATACTTGAGAATTAAACAGATGTCCGCGTAGTTCGAAACTTACGAACGTACAGAAATCACACACAAATTAATAATCTTTTTATGGAATCGTGTGTTATTTATAGAATTATTTGAAATATCCATCAAAATAAAGTTTTTTTTATGTTTGCGTATTTTGAGTTTGTCTTTTCTTCGATGTGTTACACGCTCTTTCCGCAGCCACGAGCGGCTCGTAATAAATAAAAGATAGCGTATTCAGGAGTAAAATTGTCCACGGCAATAAAAACGCTCGCCACGAGCTAGAACCGCGAAATGTTTGCGCGGTTGTGTAGTAAAAGTGTCTTCGCTGCATAACTATAAAATAAAGGAGCGTGGCCCGATGGAGTCGGTTAGATGGAGCAGATCGAAAACGCGCGAGGAAAGAAGCGAGAGAATAAGGTGTCGCGAGTTGGAAAGAGAGTAGGAGAGAAATAAGAGAAAGAAGAGATGCATGCGCTTGTGTCCAACAACGGAAAAGAGTGAGAAAGAAGAGAGAAGAGGGTGTCGTATTAACATCTCATAGCAATGTGTATAAACCCGCCGGTCATTTCACTATTTAACGAGTCTTCCCATTATATAGCTCGCGATAGTACGCATCGTATATTTCTGTGGTGCCAACATATGGAAGCGCGATATCTTCACGCACATTAACACGAAGTACCATAAAATTATACACAGAGATTGACAGGTCGACAGAACTTAATATTTTTATCGCACTTTTATCTTTTAACGCTACAGAGATTTATTACGAATCTTTGATTCTGTAATTTTTAATAAAATAATTTCGTCACATTTATATATGTATATTAAGATAAAAATATTTGTTTATCACCGTAAAATATATAGTGATCTAGAAAGCATGTTTCTCTATTTAAAAAGATAGAAAAAATATAATTTTACTTCGTCGAAAATACATTTACAAATTTATTGAGTGTCAATGGCAAAACAACACACTGCCAATAGATGCGAAGAACGCGCACGTGCTGCGTCCGGTTGCTAGTGCATGGATCATTTCGGTGTTTAACGAGCTTGCATTACGGCGGATATATATTGTACTTCGTGTCTCTTTAATACCATGTGTGCAGGTGGGCGCCTTCACGGCGTCTTCGGTAATGTTTGTGTCGCTCGTGCAGCGCACGCTGCCGACAGTAAGTATTAAACCATTGCCCGGTTGTAGAGCGGTCGCTATAAAGCAAATGTTAACACCTTGGCTCCGCCGCCTCGGTCTCCTCTCCGTATATTTCCTCCGTCTCCGCTGCTTCTCTCGTCCAAGTCCTCGCCATATACACGCATTACCTTCTGTAACAGCGCCTATTCAACACCCAGCCACCGTTCTATTCTCACATCCAGCGCCTCAGGAACCGAACGACCGGCCAGAAGTCTCGACATGCAGTTCGAACCACGAGGGTTTCGCTTAATGCCTTGATTCCAAATCGTTTCAAAGGATTACATTTGATCGTCGTTGTGTTCGAGACACTCCGAATGCACACTCCGATCTTCTTGCGATTTTTTATTTATTCTCTATGCAAATCTGATTTGTCTTCTGGTTTTGAGGTTTTTCTTCAGGTTTTGTTTTAAAAATAGTTTTTTAAAACAATTTTACCTTTACACGTTCTATCTCGCGCGCGGGTATTTTACGATAGAGACCGCGATTACATGGCGGCGCTTCAAGAAAGTCAAAACTAGTTTTGTGAAGTTTCGACGAGTCTTCAAATTATTTAATCGACAAATTTTACGATCCTGCCCGGCTTATCCTGGAAAATCACTCTCCACCGCCATCCCGACAAGACTCTCGGTATCACCTTTGCGCAAACTCGGACCATCTCTATGCAGACACCCTATAATCTTCCTTAGAGCTTAGCTTCCTGTAGCTCGGAACATAAGATCGACGTACCTGGAACTCGACATCCTGTTCCGAGCGAAAGGAGTTAGAAGTTCCCAGCAAGGTACCTTGATTAGAGAACCCTCTCTCCACCTCTTCTTGTCGCTTCCACTTCGTCTTGTAATAGAAAAGGGGAAAGCCAGGAAGGAGGATATGCGTCATCTCTTACGAGGGCCAGTTGGCAAGCTCGTTCGTTAGCTCCAAGATGAGGCGTGTTCGCGGAAGAGTAACACGCCACTGTAGTATAGAGAGACGCAATGACGGCGAGAGAAAAACCATGTACAGGAAGAATTAGGAAGTCTCATACTTTGACCTTTACTCTCGAAATATGCCTTTTACGTGCAAACTTTGCACAGAACTTTAGCACGTTTCTTTTGCTTTTTTTATGTTTGTAAAAACGCGCTAATTGTAAAAATTTTTTCACACTAAAAACACATACGCATATGCAGTCGAAGACATACGAGTCATATCAGTCAGGTCAGCGCTGCGGTATATAGAGGATAAAAAAATTGTAATGAATCGAGAGGAGGTTTAGAGAAGGAAATAAAAGGAAGAAAGCAATTACGAGAAGACGAGCTTACATAGCGATGGATCGCGCATTAAGCAATTCCCAGAATACGCATGTGTCTCACGATGTATGCGCATATTCTAGATAGTATGTCATACGTGCGAGCTAACGTGCTACTAACTACACGATTTATTTCGTCTCGCAGCAAGAAATGGGAAAGAGCAACAAGAATAGAAAAAGCATATTATGCTCCTAAGACAATTTTTATATCTTTTGAACTTTTCATTGAAGAAATGTAATTAATTCAGCAATTTAAAACAAAGCTTTCAATATTTGACATTTGTTTAAAGTTGGATCATATTTTATTTTAGTTCAGGGATATTAATACAGTGCAGTTTTCTACATTTAAAATTCTTATTTATTCTTTTACATTTAGTTTTTCTCAAAATTTATGTAGTTTTTTGCTCATTACGACAGTTTAACATAAACATCTGAATTGTTACGTTATTATTTATTTTACGTGCGTCTTCGTCGTGTGCTCCGTGCAATCCGATAAGTCCGAATAATCTAATTAACTCGCTACGAAACGTCCGGGTGCCTCACGATCGATCGTTTCTGCTCGGACGATAGCACGATATCCCCTTCCTTCGGTTCGCTCGGTTCGTTACCTGTAGAACAAGACGCGTGCTCGCGTAGCTGCTGTATGCGAGAGGACGACGCAGCAGCGCAGGAATAAAAGGCAAGCAGAGAGAGAGCCAGGGCGAACGTGACGATGGCGGAGTCCGCGAGAGCGGAGTCGCGCGGAGATAGAAAAAGAGCACGACGTCGCGCTACGGGTGGCGAACGAAGGGGAATCCAGAAAGAAAGAAAGAAAGAAAGAAAGAAAGAAGGTAATTACGGCGGGAGAAACGGGCAGCTCCCGCGCGATCGCGCGCGCGCGCACTCGATCGCCTAACCGATTCTCAGAATACGTGGCCAGCTCGCGATGTATGCGCATATTCAAGATAGTATGTTACATACGCGAGCTACTGACCGTACGTTTCGCTCCTTCGTCCACCCCCGCGCACTCTCTTTCTCCGCCCGACGACGGAGGCCCACCGGACACTTCCCCCGGTTCTCTTTCTCTCCCGGTTTCTATCCGCAACCCTCTCTTCCACGGCCTCACGACGTGTACGCGAGATCCCCAGAGGTATTTACATATATGGACCGCGCGCGCGCACGTATCTTTTATCTCCCGTAGCAGTAATGGCGCGTCTACCTCCTTCGTACCTGGTCAGGTAAACACCGCGTAGATAGGCATACTGGGTGAGATTGGCACAACCTCTGTCGCGGTCGATTGACATCCTGTCGGACGACAGTTCCGATATCGAGGAAAACCCGCTGTGTGACGGAAGATTGTAGAAAGTAGACGCAAATATGTAATGTGTAAAGAATGCCGTACGTTTGCTTCTTTACTTTCTTTATATATCTTCGATTTATTATTAATTTTCTAATTACAGTTATACAAATTCACAATAAACTCTCAATAATATCTTTTTATCTTTTACACGATGCACCGAGCATCGTTAACGGCGCGCGAGAATTGTCTTTACGAATCACCCCGTAGACACATCCCATAGGGCCGCTCGTGCGCGACCGTTCCGGCGCGAGAAGCTTTACCGGAGGATTCACGTAGAAAGGGAGAAAGGCGGGAAGAGATCTCCGCACGCTCTTTTCCTGCGCCGAAACAATGAGACGCTGTTGCGCCGTATTTCGTTGCGTTTGAATGCATCGACCGGTCTTTTTCTCGTTGGCACATAATCGAGAGAGAGAGAGAGAGAGAGAGAGAAAGAATTACACTTTTTACATTTATTTTGTTAAAAAAACGATTTTTTTAATTTTTAACGTAAATTAAACTTGTTTTAATAATTTGAGTTTTTATTAAATTTAAAACAAAAATAATTTACTACTAAAACATGACTTATTACAGCCATCATAATTTATTCAAAAAAACAGTGTAATTTATTTGTTTTCATTCAAAACTAAAAATTGCGACATTTGAGCGTATGCGAACTCAAGCAATGACGTATTCTGAGTTTTAAACGTCTTTCGGACGTTTATTAGATCTTTATGCAATTCGACAAGCCGATGCCTCGCGTGTGTCCTCGTCGACGTAGTGGCAACGCAGCGGCGGCAGTGGTGGTCGCGTTGCGATGCGATGGTGGTGCGGTAGTGTGGCGCGTCGTACGGTATGGTGTGGCACGCGGTAAGCACACGGCCCCGTATGCAGACAGTTTAGTGGTGGCCGCCCCGCGAGTCCAGTTGTCGCGTGAAATATTGCGAT